CCCCCCCCCCAACCCTTGTCGTTTGCTCGATCGCACCTGGTCCGCACGAACTCATCAGAAGACGAACGGCTGCGTTTTCGCGGAGCGGGGCCTCCTCTCCCTCGTTTCCCTCCTCGCCCTCCGATGCCACCACCGCCGCCGCGTCCGCCGCCGCCCTCGCCGTTCGCGTCGCTGCCGCTGCCGAGCGCCTCGACGCCGCACCTCTCCGCCGACGAGGCCTGCGACACGGAGGCGACGCTGTCTTCGAAGGAGGACTCCTCGAAGATCAGGTCCGTCGCCGCCGCGGCGACCCCCCCCGCGCCCGTCCCGTTCCCCGTGCCCCCCATGGGCGGCAAGGAGGAACATACCGACAGCTGCTCCTGGACCACGCCGGCGCTGTTTGCGCTGGAGACGCTCCGGCTCTCCGCGAGGCCGAAGCACGTCGTGTCTTCCGCGGAGGCCACCGGGAGCTGCAGCTGCGGGGGAGGAGACGTCGACGAGGCGGTAGAAGCCCCCCCGCGCGCCGGTATTCGGTCACCGTCTGCTGTTGAAGAGGGCAAGGTCCCGCCGCCGCCTCCGCTGCCGCCGCCTCCGCGCACTGCCCGCATTCCTGCTCGTCGTCCCCCCGGCTGCCGGACACGAAGTCCTTCACTCGATGCCCGTCCGAAGGCCGCTCCTCCCCCGCTCTCGGTCATTGTCGCCGCCACACCAGCGCTGCCTGCCTCCATTCTGTTGTTGTTGCGGGTGTTCTTGCCATCAATGGCGACGACAAACGACGACGGGTTCCTCGCGCCTGACGACGTCCTCTGGAGGAATGTCTTGTCCGCGTGGCTCCGGGACCTCATGGGCCTTCCGTGCGACCTTCTTTCTTCCTCTCCCCCTCCCCCCTTTCCCCCCTCTTTGGCGAAAGGGCTTCCTTCCCAGCACTTGACCATGGGCAGGGTGCCCCTCTGATTGCCCCCACCGCTTCTACGACTACCGCGAGGGGGGTGTTGACATTCCCTGCTCCCAGTCCCGGAATGGCTGCCTTGCTCCTCTTCCTTCGTTGCTGCCCCGCCCGCCGTTTTTTTACCTCGATTTCCGACGGGCTCGAAAGACGAGTCGGCCACAGCTGGCGATGGCCGCTCCAATTCCCCTCGGCATTGCTGCTCTGAGTCCTCGGGCAAGCCGTCGTCGTTGTCAACGATATCTGCAATTGTCTCCACAAACGTGACGGAGTCTCCGTCGCCGCCGATATCTAGCCTGGAAGCCGACGCGAGACGGTTTCTCCTCAAGCCCTCCCACGTGTGGGTCTTGGAACCCGATCTCCTTGTCGCTTCTCTTGCCTTGTCCTCCTTGCCTTGGCGGGAAGCTTCCGTCCAAGTACGAGAAACGCTCCCCCTTAGCTCCTTCTTCTTGTCCTGTCTCGTTATTGTTGTTGTCGACGTTGTCGTGGCCGGTGTCGGTGCGGTTGACGATGTCTGCCGCCCTGTGGCCTTGATCGTCTGGTCCACCCCGTCCCCAGCCTTTTTCATCCACCGCCTCCTTCGTGACAATGATGAGGACGAGGATACGAATGGGGTGGCGGCGGCGGCGGCGGCGGTATTGGCGTCCTCGGTGTCGCGAGTGAGCTTACCCGATGTCCACGACGACGAATAACGGAGTCCGCCGGGCCTACGTTTGCCCAGGGACCTTTCCAAGGATGCCGAAAAGACAGCCCGCACGGGTGATTCAACGTTCAGGTTGGTGTTGCCGTTATTCTTCGTAGGTAAAGATGACGTCGAGAAAGCCGCCGGCGGAAGTGGGTTGCTGGATGGTGCCACGAGGCGGTCCTTGCTGGTGGTGACAGTGGTCGGAGGAGCGCTGCCTCTACTGTCGGTTTTGGTGCTGCTGCCGATTGTTGTGGCGGCGTTTGTGTCTCCGAATGGTGCGTGTCGTTTGCTGCTGACGCGTGGTGCGGACGCTGATTTCTGCCTGCTGAGACTGGAACAAGCGAGTGCGGGTCGAATGGTGCGTATTCATATTGGACCACTGCTGTGCCACAGCCAAATCTTTGGGGAGAACGACAGAGATCGCATGCTTCGAAGCTCGTGACGACGCGTTTGTTGCTGGTTAATGGTACCAACGCGTCCCTTGCCCCCTTACAATTTGATCGCCAATGGACCACTATACCGTATAACCATGACATGGCTGTAGTGCTGTAGACGTACTACTCCTGGTCTAGACTAAAATGCGGTAGTGTACACCACACCTGATCGATCGTAAAAAACAATGCAAACATGTATGAAAGCTTCCTTCATCTACCCATCGCGCATGGTCCGCTTTTCTTCGACGTGGTATCTAGGCAGGTCGCTGTCGAGATCTCGTGTACAACTTCATGCGGTGTATGTCACGCAAGATATGGTGATGCGTGTCCAACGAGGAACAACACATGATCTTTAATTTTCATCATATTTTTCAGCAATAGGAAGCTTGTGCTTACCTTGCAAGCTCTTCGGCCTCCGGTCCAAACTCCGTGAGCCCCGGGGGAGGTTTATTGTTACCGTTTCCCATTCGCCCCTCGCCAGGGGAGCTAGAGAGCAAGGTTAGATCTCTTCCCCACACACCGGGATCCTAGCACAAATGAAACGGTACTCCGAAGTTGACAGACCTCCGTTGAGCAGGGGGGGTGGCAGCTTTTGAGCAGTTTGTCACGGAGCCCCTGCACCGCATTCAGGCGTCTCCTGTCCTGTGTCGCAGGTCTGTGTCACACAAAGCCACGGCAACAACGCGGTCTGTTACCATGCACTCGACTACTTTGGCCGCGCTCGGTTTCCTGGGCCTTCAGCTCAATGATGTAGCCGGTTTTCACGTGCCGGTGCCGGTGCAGCAGGCTCGTAACATGCGCAGCACGCCGGCGAGGATGGCGACCGAGGGCACAAGTGAGTTTGTTCTCTGGGTGCAGCAAACACCGAAAGGGTCATGTGTATGTGGAAGGCATGAGGATCGATACTCACTTGTGCGTCCTTGCCGCTGGAGCAAGATTTACCGCAACGGCTGTACCTTCGACTCCGGACGTGTGAACTGCTGTGCAGGATGGAACCAGAACTACATGATCCGCGGATCCGCCGCATCCGGTTTTCTTCGTACGCACGTTCTCACTCACGCTGTTCTCTTGGTGGCTGGCTTCGCTGGGAGCAGTTGCAATAGGCGCTCCCATAGCATCTCCAACTCTCTAGGTGTTTCAGAGGTGCAATGTGACATCCAAATGTTGGACATACCCTACAAGACAAGGACGGATGGATGCAAACATGCCAAAACTACGAATGACCTGTTTTTTTATTCAAAACGGATGATAGATTCATATACTGCAGCATACGTTCAACAACAGTGGATATACTGCTGTGCCGTGTTCCCTGGGCCCATTTTGTAACACACGACATAGCGGAGAGCTTCTCCCCAATATTTGTCGTTGACCCAGTTGAGAACTGCAGGGGATGTTAAATGTATTTACCTATCTATGCACATTCTTTTAGTGCAGATGATTCTGTACGCCGATGCTTATGTACTTTGCACCAGCTGGTATCACTGGTACGATTCAGTGTACAGTTAGGGTATATTCAGCGATTTTGGGGGGGGGCACACGGATTGGGTTCTTTTTCGGCTCTTGAGAGTGCCCGCCTATTATACTGATTAAACAGAAAATCACTCAGTTTGTTTGTGCAGGTAGTTCTGTGCCCAGGCAGCAGCGTGGCTCTTCATACGTTACACACACCTGGACACAAGTCCAATAGAGGCGCCTGTAAGCTCGGTTTTCTCTTAATTAAGTTAAAGGGCGGACGAACAACACCAAAAAACATGTTTTTTTAGCCCTTTGCTCCACGCCCAAGGCGACCTTTGCTCCTCTCGAAAAAGCGAGCGAACAGCCCTCTACCTTGGGCTTACAGCTATACCACACAACAAACCGCATCCGAATCGCATCAGCCAACCACAAGATTTACATGTCTGAAAACGGCCCCTCCAGTGGGGCTGCAGCGCCCACACCAGCAGACTCTCCCAAAGAAAAAAATCGAGGTCCGCGCCGTTCGGCAGCAGGAGGTGCTCTGCGCGAAAGCTGAATCAAAACAAAACGAAGTTTGAAGAGAGGACGGGGCAGTGTATGGTTGTCGCATCAGCAGCAGATAACACGCAGCGCTATCGAACGGGGCAGCCTCACCGTCGTAGAGGGGACGCTGGAGGAAACGAAGGAGGAGTTGGTCAAAAGTAAGAAAATTGTGGAAGAGAGCCAGGCTCAAATTCTCTGCCGCCGCCGCCGCCGCTGCTGCTGCTGCTGCTGTTTTTTTCAGCAGCAGCAGCAGCAGCAGCAGCGGTGGCAGGTGTCTGCGTGGCTTCACCGCCCGGCTGCTGCTTGGGTGTGTCATGAGGCATGTGTTCTAGAGTGGGACCGCGCAATGGTGTTGNCGCATCAGCAGCAGATAACACGCAGCGCTATCGAACGGGGCAGCCTCACCGTCGTAGAGGGGACGCTGGAGGAAACGAAGGAGGAGTTGGTCAAAAGTAAGAAAATTGTGGAAGAGAGCCAGGCTCAAATTCTCTGCCGCCGCCGCCGCCGCTGCTGCTGCTGCTGCTGTTTTTTTCAGCAGCAGCAGCAGCAGCAGCAGCGGTGGCAGGTGTCTGCGTGGCTTCACCGCCCGGCTGCTGCTTGGGTGTGTCATGAGGCATGTGTTCTAGAGTGGGACCGCGCAATGGTGTTGTGTTGTGTCCCACAGCAGGGCACATCAGAGCACACACACGAGCGGCGCCCTCGCGCGTGCGCGTCAGGTGTTTTAAGGGAGCTTTCGGACCGTTCCGTGCAATTTGATTGGTCAGTCGATTTTCCATCAGGAAGATCCGAGGTCACTTTTTCAATTTTTTTCCTAATGGAAATTTGCTGCTTTGACACCCCTAACAGCAGTGCACCGTATATGACACAAGATAACACACCTCCTGGACCGATTTTCAAAGCTCGATTACTCCACGACGAGGATGATGCATAAACGAAATGATACATTTTCGAAAAGCTCTCGACGAGACGGTTTCAACGCCACCGTTTTCGGCGCTGTGACTGTTCCTGCAGTTGACAAATCGAGCTTCGAAAATCGGTCAAGGGGGTGTGTTATCTTGTGTCATATACTGTAGTCTAGGCTTATAAGCCAATTTTCCAGCCGGTTTCCCTCCATTCACTGAAAAGACTTCAGCACATCCCATTTGACTGCTGTAGTGATATCTCAAACGGGTGGTCTTTCTGTATTTTCATCTAATTTTTCTACTTCGTACTCTAAAGCGGAGATCTCGCGCTTGGCATCGAACGCCAGCGTTAACCGAGCGCAGAATACTTTCGACCAAGCAAGGCGCCTGGTTCGTTGTAAGGATATATCTACAGCAGTCAGTGATGCCGTGGTGTGGTGTTTATCTCGTATCGCAGCTGTTGCCTCGATACTTAGAAAAGCACACTGATTCAGGTGTTTCCAATGCTCCACGTACAGATGGAACTAATCCTTGCCCCGGTTGCTGCACACGTCTCTCAACGCCTCGAACTAACCTCCCCCCCTCCTCCGATGTTCCAACTGCTTGTGTGTGTGTGACGCTCTCTCTGTGGTGGTGTGTGGTGTTATCGCGAAAAATTCCCCCTTCTCGTTCTAAGACGAGAGCGGGCTCAAGAAGCTCACGATCAGCTCCGGCGATGCGTCTGCGGAGGTGTTCACCCTCGGTGGCTGCGTGACCAGCTTCAAGGCGAGTCTCTCCTCTCGCGTATGTGCTGAATGCTGCACGGGCGTTTTGTGATGGATGCCTTTGTCCAGCATGTTCTTTTCGTGTGTCGTTGTACTGCTAGTCTTGTTTGTCCGTGTTCTCGCGGGCAGCTGTTGAGAGAAAGTGCTGCCGACGGTATACCCCAGTCCTACGTGGCACAGCAGTAGAGTTAACATGTTCCTCTCTTAATGATAGCGTGGGAATGATAACGGCCGCGAACCCCCCTCGCTTACGCACGCTTCGTATCTATGGATAAAGATGAATTAGTTGCGCTGTAGTCAAAGAGAACGAGAGAAAACGGGCACAATCCCGACCGTGATTCCACTGACACATGATATACAGCTTCTCCCCATACCTCCTCACTCACAGACAACAATAACAACGATCCGCGTGTTGATCACACAGGTGAAGGACTACGACTACCTCTTCGTTCGCCCGGACGCCATGATGGACGGATCCAAGCCGAGTGAGAGGGAGGTTGTTGCGGCTGTACGGCACGCCCTTGCTTGATGCTTTGCCCCCGACTTGCGAACGCCCTTCCTTCCTTCCTTGTTAGCTTTCTTGCGGGCGGGCGGCCGTCCGGAGCTTTCTTCGACCAACTTGCCGCCGCATGATGGTCGTCCGATGGTCCTGCAACCGTTTAACAGCATTTGCGAGGTTGTTGCACCCAACTGCTGTTGCGGCTAGCAAACATTCCGGCTAAAAAGCCCTGTCTACTTGTCACCCGATGATGTTACGAAGGCGTGTTTGTACCGTAAGGCCGACACTTGTTAGCCTGACTGCGTGCGGACCCTCCCGTATCCTCTGTATCCCAATGCAACCTTTCATGCGGGCGCCCCTTGTACCCCCCCGCTCCCAAACTACTAGTCTCGGGCGGTCTGCCCCACTGCTTCCCCCAGTTCGGGCCGGGTGTGATTCAGCAGCACGGCTTCGGCCGTAACCTTGAGTGGGAGGTGGTCGGTTCGACGGACGACTCGGTGTCCCTCAAGCTCTCTGACAACGAGGAGACGATGGCGATGTGGCCTCACCCGTTCGAGTGCGTGTACAAGGTGACCGGTTTGCTGTGCTTGTTTTTATGTTTTGTCTTCAGGCGTTGATTGATTGATTCTAGCCGTTGTCGGCATATCGACATAACGCTTGTTCCGTCTGCAACCCGGGAGGTGGGGCTGTACATGCCGTAGTCGTTAAACCCGTGACCTCACATCCCTACAACACCGGAACGGAGCGATATTCAGTCTAAGATTCACAGGGATGTCAGTCCTTTTCATTGGTCACGCGTCACATGGGGCGGGGGCTTTTGATGGTCCGTGGGTACTACATACTCCCTGACTTTTTGTTGCCGTCCGTCCAACCGCTGCGTTGGTGGTGCCTTGCGGCCTGGTCTGTACTCACACGGAACGGACACGACGACGGGACAGGTCGCCCTTGACGGGACCACTCTGCAGACCGAGCTGACCGTGACCAACACGGGCCCGGAAGACTTCGATTTCCAAGCGGCGTTGCACAGCTACTTCCGTTGCTCGGACATCAACAAGGTGGATGGGTCGCTTTCTGTTCTTGTGCCCCCACTTTTTGTATTTCTTGGTTGTTCCATTCCTTTTGCAAGTGTGGCGCGTGTTGGCTCGACGGACTGCTCCTGCGAAGAGCCCAGGTTTCAGTCGCCAGCAGCGGGTAGGGATGACCTAGTGAGGATACAGCGGAGCTGAATAACCCCGAGAGGGTACAGACAACCCGACTCTCAGGGAAACTTACTCCATATCCGCGCTGGTGTGTTCGGTATGTCCAACTCGTTAGAAGCAACAGTGCTCATTGCAGTTCCTGCGTTACTAATTGTCGCGTGCACGTGCGCCTTCGCTGCTGCTGCTTCTGCTGCTGCCTCTGCTGCTGCTGTACGTCGTGGTCCTCGCGGCGTTCTCACGCCCCTTACTGCTCTTCTTTCCTTTCAGGTGACCATTTCCAGCCCTAAGCTGGACGGGGCCTCGTACCTGAACAAGATGAAGGACCCTCCCGCCACGGAAACGTTCTCCGGCACCAAGGTGCTGCTTTCCGTACCTGGTGCTCTGGTGCCTCTTCGTGTGAAATTTTGCCGTTGCCGAAACTGCCATCCATGAAACTCTTGCTGACGCTCAAGCTCTAATTGGTCCTTGGAGCTGCCGTCCGGGGGGATACGTAACAGCTGCAAAGAAACCTTTAACCTGTGCATACACGGCCCGACGAATGCTTGCATGGTCTGGCAGAATTACAGCGTGTGTTGCAGCATCTTGTGAAGGTCAACGCTGGGTTATACATGTCAGAAAAATTGTGTGGTGTGTTGGCGCTTCCAAGGCGGGGAGAGCATTCTTGCGTCGCGCTCCACACGAACGTTGGTCTCGCTCCGCATTTTGTCCCGCGCGGACTGCTGCCGTGCTGCTACTGTGCTGCCGCTGTCCTCACGCTCTGCGTGCGCTCCCCTCATGCTTACCGCCACTTTCTTCCCTCTCTGTTGTGTGTTTCTATCTTTCTTTGCCTCTTTCTCTCTGTCTTGTCTCGCCCCGTGTGTCCTTTTCTCTCTCGGCCCCCCTTGCGCCCCCCCTCCCCGCCCCCCTCTCTTTCATTGCGGCGGGAAACAAAACAACATTCAAGATGACGATCTCCGAGGAGGTGGACCAGGTGTTCAAAGGCGTCACAGGCGACATCTCCATCAACGACGCCGGAAACAGCCGCGTCCTCGTGGTGAGCAACACCGAGGGCTGGGCGGACACGGTCATCTGGAACCCTTACGGCAACGAAGGTGAGCGAGCGAGCCCACCGGCGCTTGTAGGGACCGCATGGAGAGAACACGCGCCCGCTCTGTGCGCCCGTCGACAACAGCAGCAGTAGGAGTAGGGCAAGGACGAATTGGCGAGACACGAAAATGCCACCGGTCTTCCGAAACTAGACATGTGGAATAGTTTACCTACAGGTTACCTACACCTCAAGCGAAGCTGAAGATTGTATCTAGCACAAAAAGCAGGATATGATGGTCTAGGTTTTCTCGACTTCCCTCCTCTCACGAACCTGGTGTGGTTCGTGTGTGTCTCGCGTCTTGTTTTCCCTCTTCTGGCCTCTCGACTCGGAAGGAATGGGAGCGGACAACTTTGTCTGCGTGGAGAGCGCCCAGGTCGGCGGGGAGAAGCTCGCCGCGGGCAAGACGTGGACGGGAAAGATGAAATTGTTGCCGGCGTAAACTAAATTATTTTTTAATAGTTCTGGGTAGAGGTCGTATTTTTTATTTTACTTTGTAGCCCCCAATCGAAGCGCGCTTTGGTCTCGCCTCTTCCTCACAAGTACCAGTTCACCGTGTGAGCCTAGATAAGTTTACCATTCCCCTCCCTTGACGTGGAAGCGGTGCTTGAACAAAACGCCGCGCGCTGAGGTTGGCCGCGAGGAAGCCAGCCGTGGCAAGAGGGGGTCCCCTCCCGTCTGTTGAACAGCACGTTTGTTTCACACGACGGCCTTGTTTTAACACCCGGCAGCTGGAGTTTGTTTCCGTCGTAGGTTGCCGGAGTGGGGGGGGGGGGGGT